TTTGCTTCATTCGAATCATTTATCTTTAACCCTTTGAGAGAAGCAAGAATATTTTATGATTTGGTATATATTTTTACAATCACAAACTGACCATATTTTAAAAACAAAAACACTTAAATTAATTATTTTCTTTCTTTTTTCCTAATTAATAAGAGGTAAGTTATAATAGCACAAGTCAAACTTTTTACTAATTTCTTCTGTTGTGCTAGGAAATATGTATTTTCTGATTTTTGGCTTGGGAATCACATACTGTATTAGGGCTGGTCTGATTTGAGAAAGGGTGAGGATAATTTGAAGAGAATTGGAGAGACATTTGATAAAAATATTCCAGCCTATATTCAGTCCACCTTCAGAGATTTATTTATTATTAATGGTCCTTCTATAAAATAGTTAGGAGTGAATTATTTTAACACAATATTCTCATGGTCCTGAGACCAGTTATTTTTACTAGAAAACGTGACCTTTCAGTTAAGATTAAATTTCTGAGCAGTGCCGTTAAAATATTCAGAGATTATGTGTTGTATTTTTAGGATTCCTCAAGTGAAAAACAACAACAACAAAAAAAAAACACAACAATTTGATCTAGTTGAAGGAAACTGACAGATTTTTTCTTTTCTTTGCCAGACTTGAGGAATATCTCTTTAAACCCAGTGACAGGAGTGCAACTGAGCTTGGAACCAAGATCTCAGGTACTATCCAGGCTCTCTCTGTGGTTTTTCTTTGGCCTCCTCTATGTATGTCCGCTTATGTCTCTCTCCAAAGACCTTAGGTGGCAGGATGAAGGCTGCTGCTCCACAGTCTTGGAACATAAAGATCCTAAACTCAAGACAATAGAAAGAAGTTGCAGGCTCCCTGGAAAGAGCAACTGATTGTCCCAGCTTGGATCCAGGGATCTATCCATGGTCAATTAGAAATAGTCAGATCACAGAGTGGGGAGTTCTCATCCCCATAGTAGAGAAATGGGAAGTAGTTACTAGAGATGGGTAAATCACCATGACTGGACAAATGTCCAGAGTGTTTTTATGATAGAAATTGTGGATAGAGTAGAAAAAGATGGGAAGCCAGTGAATGTGAATTTTATGTACTTGAAAATTTTTCTAGAATCAATGTACATTTTTGCTCATCCTTTTCTGGATTGTCCTCATTTCTTGCATTTTTGAACCCAGCCAACACAGGAGGTCTTTAGCCCTTCAGACAGTGGCATCCCTCGACAGGAAGAATTTGCCTTAAAATGCTGTTTTATTAGCGTGCAGAAAAACGACTTACTCATAGTAAAAGAGGTGCAGTGAAAAGATATCAGGCTTTGGAGTTTGAGGATCTATATTCAAATTTGATTGATGCCACTCATCAGCTGTGTCAGTGGTCAAGTTATTTAGCTTCTATATTAGCCAGGAAGGCTAAGTTATGCCGTGGTACCAAATAACTTCCAAAAACTCACTTGTATTTCTCCCTCATGTTACATGTCCACTGGGTATTGGCTGGTCCAAATTGTCCTCAATCTAGTATCCACTAACAGGAGTTTGTCAAAAAATTGGGCAAAGGGAAAAGAGTTCGGGAGGGTCATTTGGCACCAATTAAATTTTATAATGCATTGTCTAGAAGTAATTAGATGGGCTCACCCCACCAGATAGAGAGCTAGGAAATACAATCCAATTATGTATATAGAAGGCAGAGAACTGCTGTCTTCGGTGAACAGCATAAATAACCAGCACAGCATTTCTGAGCTTTAGTTTTTTCATAAACAAAATAAAAATGCTGTTAATTGAACATAATAATGTGTATAAAACACCTGATAGGAATAATGCCTTGTACATTATAATTTTAGTAAAAGATAATTTTTAATTTTATCAATTATTATTATTAGGAGACTTAAGGTCTGGGGAAACCAAGTGTATTATTTCTTTCTGCATTACAGAAAGAATTTATGAGTTGCACAGGGATTAGCAATCCATGGACCACAGATGAAATGCAGTCCAGTACCAGTTTTTGTTAATAAATTTTTATTAGAACATAGTTATGCCCATTCTTTGTGTATTATCTGTGGCTGTTTTGACTCTAAAATGGCAGAACTGAGTAGCAGAGACAAAGACCCTATGAACCACAAATGTTTAAAATCTTCCTCTTTAGAGATAAACTTTGTTGATCCTGTTCTAAAGAAACAGCAAATGGTTAACAAAGTAACTTTCGTAGTATGTGTTCCCTTAAAAACAAAGCCTGAGACAAAGACCAGGGAACAAATAGTTTATACTGGAGATGATTCAGGAAGCAGGAGTGAAGGAGCAACTGAGGTGAGACGGGATTGGAATACAAACTAGCATGCAGGTGTATTATTGAGGTTGCAGCTGTGCGCAGCATTCACTATACTCCACTAGATCCCATTGAAAAGTGGACAGAATGTCTACCTGAATTCCCAGAATTGTCAACCTGAGGACAGCAAGCAGGTGCATCCCCCCCACTGGCTTCTGTCCCTTCATAGGGGCTGCCGTTAGAGGTTCTAACCCAGACGCCTGGCCTGTGCTCGTCTATGGGGCAAGTGGACTTAGTGTTGAAAAATGCTCTTGGCAGAAAGTAGAAAGTTGCATGGAGCATGCTTGAGGTGAGTGGCTCTCAGTCAGAACTTGTGTGGCGCTGTCCATCACAGCTGAGGCTGAAATCAGACGGGGACATGGTGCACAGACCCAAGGTCTCCCCTATATTATCTGACAGCATAACTAGAGCTCTAATCTCTTTGTTCTTATTTTGCTCTGGAGCAAACTCTATTGACCATAGTTATGATGTACAATGCAAGGAGTAGTTTATGGAGGAGGGGCTATGAGAAAAGGTTGTTCCAGGACTGGCATTGTATCCATGCCTGTAATCTCAGTCTAAGGGAGCAATAAAAACAAGTACCCAGAAAATGTGATGAAAAAGAGCATTTAACACGTGTGGTAGCATTTTTTTCCCTGTAAAGGATAAGGTAGCATCTATCAGATAATAACCATTATATACTTTGATCCTCTTAAGTCTGATAGCAATGCTACTGATAAAAAATTTCCTGTTAGGGATATGAAGTGCTGAAATTATAGAGGATGTCCATTACAGCACAGATATCATAAGCCCCTGCTTACATTTGTATTGCAAACAAAAAATCAATGATTTTCAAGTGCATGGGATTTAAAAAAATAAAAACATTTGAAATTAAACTGAAGATGAATGTAATGAAGAAAAAAAAATAAAAGAGATTGAAAAAGCCATTCATGCTTCAAAGAGGGAAACAAGACTTTATTTTCCTTTAACCATCACCCAAGCTCAGTGAAGGAGATGATGAGTCAGAATATCAAAGGCATTTATCTACCAAATATGGCTCCATTAGTGATTAAACAAATACCTTCTCTCCTTTTTTTTCTTTTTAAGATAAGGCCGGTGGGGTGGCTCACGCCTGTAATCCTAGCACTCTAGGAGGCTGAGGCGGGCGGATCTCTCGAGGTCAGGAGTTCGAAACCAGCCTGAGCAAGAGCGAGACACCATCTCTACTATAAATAGAAAGAAATTAATTGGCCAACTAATATATAGAGAAAAAATTAACCGGGCATGGTGGCGCACGCCTGTAGTCCCAGCGACGTGGGTGGCTGAGGCAGCAGGATTGCTTGAGCCCAGGAGTTTGAGGTTGCTGTGAGCTAGGCTGATGCCACAGCACTCACTCTAGCCTGGGCAACAAAGCGAGACTCTGTCTCAAAAAAATAAAAAAAAGAAAAGGACCAGTATAAAGAAAATTACATTTTTTCTGCACTTTCGAATTTTGTGGCTCGGTGTTTCTCAGTTTATCTAGTATTAATTCAGACCTTGAAATCATAATGTAGCAGATAAACAATGGTGAAAAGATGAGAATGCTTTGTACACACAATAATGTCATTAAAAAAATTATTACCCAACTGTCTTTCTGGTGGAAGAGGTAAATATGACTTAAGATATAATTTAAAGAAGATAATAACACTTTCTAATAACTGGCATTAAAGGATTAGTAATATCAAAACTTTGTCCATAGAACTATTGCTTAAGTGAATAAATGAATGAATGAGTATGCAGTCTGAAATGCTATGCAATGTTCAGGAAACCCTGCATAGGCCCTCCAAAGATCACTCCAGTCAGGATCAAAGCTATTAAATTTTTCTATATGATTTGAACACACTCTCATTCCAAGCATTTTGCTCTCCTCTCCAGGCTATGTTGCATGCTTGCATTGGCTTCACATATGAATGTGCCTATGCTAGCTATTCAAGCATTATTTTTAGAGAATGAATTGGTGATCACTGCATTGCTACAGTTACCATGTTAACATAAGCCAAAAGTGCCTTGTCCTGTATTCATGTGCAATTAAACAAAACGTGTGGTTTTTATTCTTTCACTGATAAGATGATAAATTTGTCTTATGTCTAAAACATATGCACAGTTATTTTCCTTCAATTTATCTTGACAGTGTCTGAAACCCAGGATCTGCTCTTCTCTTTCACAGGGCAGCTTGGGGGAAAGTGGCGTTTCTCTGGACAGAAATCACTGTGGAGGCTTGTTTCCAAAACGGATTCCCAATCTCCACCCCACCCCATACCTACTGAATTAGAGGGTTTAGAAGGAAGGAGATCTAGAATCTGGATTTTTATCCAGATTAGTTAGTTCTTACATGTCCACAGATTTGAAATACACTTACATATGGAAAACTCTTTGAGGATCCGATCCCTTTTTAAATACTAAAGAGGACATAACAACATCCAATTTATGGGGTTACAGTTGAGATCGGATGAGATAAATATAGCTAGATAATATATTTGGGAAAACCCAAGGACTGTTAAAAAAAGACTCTATAAACTGTAGTTGAGATTTTTCTGTTATTTTATCATACCATTTTATAAAATCTTATTTTGGAAATTTAAAAAAGAGACAAGTAAATCAATAAGCATCCCTTTTAGAAAGCCCCAACTTTATGGTTGCTATATTACTATCCAAGTTCATTGACTCATTCTAACCTCTGCTTTATTTTGCAGTGAAGCTAGTTTCAGTTGGATGTCTTGGACTTCCCATGGTTTAAGGAAGAGATCAGTTCCAGGGGACACTTGTGGTTGTACCTTCTCTTTTCTTTTAGAAATTCTAACATCCAATAATCTGATAAGTAAAGAAGATATTAACTAATATTAGTCTATCAACATTACAAATTAAATTGAGCATCCATTTTCATCATTTCTAGATCTTGAAAATTACTTTTAATTTGTTCCTCTGGGAATTTTCACAGTGATCATTTTCTCCTATCTAGCTAACTAGCTAACTATTTTTTTCACCTCTCTGAAGTTAATAGATAAACATCCTAATTGGAATGACATTCTTCCTGCTGATCTATTTTATGTACAAACAAATATTTACTGCAGATATTTCAGTTATTCATTAATTTCCTGTGAAATCACTAAAAGGTCTGGCCTTCGCTTTTTTTCTAACAGAAAGCAAGAATTTGTTTTTATTTTTGTTAAGCTCCCCGATGAGCATCTTATCTCAAGTTCCTTGAATATAAACATGGGGTTTAATACTAAACATGGATTTTGCTCAGGTAGATAGCTTAATTAACCATGATGAATTGCATCAGATAAATATTTTTGGTCCCCTATCAAACTTAAGTTAATCTTTTCAATGTAATTCACAAATATAAAACAGAGTTTTAAGAAGTTTCTAAATTCATCAGTTATATAATATCTCACTTATCAAGAGCCAACAAGTAAATTTGTCCATCTATGTAAATATATGTCCAATGCCTCTTTATCTATTAATTATCTATTCTTAGGATATTCAAGAATGCCAAAGAAATGGAATACACCATAATGATAATACATTTCCATTATATTTTAAAAATTAATTTTTCTTGCACGTGCTCTCTAGAAATTATTTAACTTGAGTAAAATTTTGAACTTTTCTTATAATTATATAATTTTAAGTACTCCTTTAAAAATATAAAACTAGTTTCCTGATTTTACTAAATACTGCTTGTGAAATACATTATAGTTTTTCCTTCATGATTTATCTGGTCAAACTGTCAGAAAAAAATTATTCAAGTTCCAAATGGGCATTGCTTTTTCATTTTAAAGTATACAGAATTTAGCAGTTTTTCCTACGTTTCAAGAATTCTGATCCAAGGACATGGATAAAACTCACCATTTGCCTGATAGAACCATGAAAGTTTGCTCTTAAGTGAGTAACTAATGCCATCTGGGTACCTGAGGCATCTGTGTGGGAAGTAACATAAATTCCAAGAGACTGGCTAAGCATTTGAAGGATACCTTTTAACTATTAGTATATAGAGGAAATCCTGGATGACAAAAGTAGAATTCCTTTCAGCTTTGGAAGTGGCAATGTGTGACTGTATCTGCAATGTTAAGAATTTTTTCTCAAACCCTGTATGGTCTTCCTATTATCAGCCTTGTAAATGATGATGTCATTACTGAACAAAGATAGGATATGTGTGTGTGTCTGTGTATATATATATATATATATATCCAGTTAATTTACTGTAGAGAAAATCATCTAGATTTCAAAGAACACTCAAAACTATACTGAAAAGATTTTGCTTGGTTTCTACTCATAGTAAAGAAAATATAATGATTTAGAGCCTTGTTTAGTTTTAGCTTGGGCAACTTTCTTTATTTTTCTGACCCTAGTTTTGTCATATCTTACATTTAGGCAAAAGTACCTACCTTTGAAGCTTTGAATAGGTCTAAATGAGATAATGCATAAGTCTAGTTCTCAGTACGCCCCAGGCCATGCAGTAATGGATGGACATTCTTGTAGGATAGCAGTGCTTATTTTGAAAAACATTCCACCCAACAGAAAAGAATAGAGCATATTAAAAGAAATGCTTTAATGGAAATGTTTTGTTGAATAGATTCAGTTTTTATGTCCTGAATATAGTGCTATAGGTCACAATCCCACAATGATTTGTTACCATTTTGTAGAACTTGCCTCTTTAGTTATTTTTGCTCATGTGGCATAATGAAATGTCACAGATACTCTCTAAGTCTCACACACACACAAAATCTCTAGAGGGCCAGGATTGCTCTCAGGCTTTACAGGTAAGGGGGGATAAAAGAAAATTAGATAAACATGAAAAGAGGTATAAGAAATTATTGCAGCATTGAAGACTTGGTTTAATGTAAACCATCTTATTATTTTAAATTAATGTATTATTATGCACTATGATAAATTTTATAGTGTAATCAAAGTATTTTAAAAGTTCAGAGCATTCACATATCTACTTATTATATGCTTACTTATTTTTGGTTAAAATTTTATGCCAGTTGTGCCAAGGCAAATAGATTATTATTAGGAGCTGTTAATGAATTTAAAATCACACTAATTAAATTGGTATTCCTTCTGATGACAAAGTAATAAAATTAAATATCATTAATATTATGTTCTGAAACAAATTTTTAAATGATTCTATTAGGTTTTTGGACTAGTGATAAGAGAATTTGTTGTATTTTGAATTCTAATTAAAATAAAAGCTTTATCCTTAAAACTTGGTGATAATCACATCATCTTCTAAGTCATCTCTGGGTAGAAAAGGTCTATATGCAGCATACAACAAGCAAACAATAAAAATTCGTTGGCTAAGTCATACTTTCTATCACAAGAAAAAATAATTCTCATGAAACTAGAATAAGTGCCAAAAAACTAATTCAAATACATATTTACAAAATATTATTTTGGTGTTTCAATTTCACATTTCTCTTTATTTTCCCTTTACCACACAAAATTACTTGAGCTGTTTTCAGTGTTTCAGCATGCAAAAGAACAAAGGTAAACCTTAAAGGATTTTTATATTTATTTTTGAATTATTTATTCTATATCCCTTTTAGTCATTAGCTAAATGTGATGTTCCTATTCTCTCAGGTTACAATAAAATGAGCAAAATTTCACAGAAGACACTTAAAATATTTTATGGCTTGATCATGGGAGGAAGGTAGAGAGAGGGATTCTACAATGTCATTGAACACTGTAGGATGGGAAGTATTTTTTGAATGTGTAGGGCAGAAAGATATTTAATAGGTGAATAAAATTCACTAGAACATAGAAAGGTCTGAGGCTACTCATATGAATTAATATGGTGCAGTCAAGTCGGGACCAGCCCTAAACATTACCCACAGAAATTTCTACATACCTTATGCAGCAATTTCAAGAAGGATGGCACATGACTTCAAAGAAAAGAAAAGAAAAGAAAGGAAGATCATTACTTATTTACTGCTAGTATATGAAAGCAGGGAGTGAAAAAACTAAGGAGAAGGACTAAAATTCTTCAATTTTTATTATATTTATGATTTAGTTGAAGTATCAAATAACTAAGCTGAAACTGACACTTCAGGAAGGACATTTATGATGGAAAACAATCTATTTGGGAAGTACACTTAGGAAGAAAAGTAAGGCAGTATGGATTGTTATCGCCATATTAGTCAAGTCTCTGGATCAATTAACAAATGAGAAAAATAAAAAGGGATTTTCAGGACAGTGTTTATTATTGGACTTTAAGTTAATAGACTATATTTACTTAGAGAAGTTTATCCCTCCAGTGAAAGTACAGAACAGGGTGGGGAGCTTTCCATGTTGGAAGGCCGAATTAATTTAACTGTAATTGAATAAGGCCACGTTCAAGAAACTTCAATAGGTATGCTTAAAAATTACATTATTTTATAAAAATTTAACTACTATGTACTTAATAATTTCAAAAAATGAAAGCTATTTGTTAATTTTAATGTTAACTAACCTTTTAATGACTTTGTTGTGTCTGCTTTTTGTTGGAAAGCATTTGAGTATTTGGTTACAGCACAGAGGGCCACTGTTGATCCTCTAGATGGGCATCAGCCACTTGTCCACCTTAAGGGTGTCTTGATTTCGGTTAGGTTAGGAGAATGCAGATTCACAGCAGTAAGTGGTTGAAAAGCAAGAAAGCATCTTGGAGGCATGATGCCAAAGGCGTAGATATTCCACTGAATTTTTCATATTTCAATGGTATCTTGCTTAGTATCTAACAACGACTTTAACATGTCATCTACTGAGAGCTCAGTCAATTCCATCTGCAGTTCTTTAGGTGCTTTAGTGATGTCATCTAGGTGAGGGTGAAATGCTAATTTGAGTGTGATGTCATAATTCTCAAAGGCAGTGAACCTTTCATAGTATTCTCCAATTAATAGGTCTATTAACAGCTACGTATTCTTCAAATGGTTTGCGTATATCATCCTGCTCATCAATGACCTTGGATAACTGGAGAAAATGTTCACCTGAAATTTCCCTTTGAAGAAGAAGTGTTTTGAAAAGAGATAGCTTTTTTCTAAATGCTTGGCTTTTTTGGCCACATATTGTATATAGACTTAGTTTTGCCTTGCAAAGAAATATTCAAGTCATTTTGATTTGACATGGTACCAGGCAGAAATGCTGCATTCCTATAGAAATCTTCTTTCAATAATTCACATTGCAGATTCTGTTCTTCATAAAATTTAACTATCTGTTCTTGCAGAGACAAAAATTTTGGCTAACACCTGTCCCTGCGATAAACCAATATACTTTAGAATGATCCGGAAAATCCACACTGATTGCATCATCCTTCAACTTTAGCAAGTTAGGAAGCTGATGATGCTGTGTTGTATCTGCACTAACTATAAGTTATAACAATACTTATAACTTGTTGCCAAGTGTCACTTAAAATAGTAGCTTTAGCACAGAGATTTTGCTGATGCAAGATATACTGAAAAGAAATGAGAACATCTGGATCTGCTAATACTTTTTTTATCTGTGCAATAAACCCTTCATGTTTTCCTGTCATGGAAGGTACATACACTCACTAAATTTATCAAATTCAGTCCAACTTCACTACAATTTATCTTGAAAGTTGTTGAAGATATATTTTCCCTGTGTTCTGTTCATAAGAGTGCTCAAAATGAGTAACTTTTCATGACAAAGCAAATCTTCTGTTATGACCCAATAAAGTATAAAATCTACCCTAAGTTAGTAGTATCAGTTGGTTTATCCAAAATGATTGAATAATATATATTTTCCTTTTGAAGTATTGCATAAAGTTGTTCTGTTAAGTTGAAGGCTAATTCATGCTACCAAATCAGTTATGGTTCTCCTTGAAAGAGGCAGTTGTTTGTACTTTGAAACACTCTTGGGGTCTACCCATCCTATAACTTTGACATGCATTCTTTCACAATTTCTACATCACTGAATGGCTTCCCTTTCTTCCTGAGTATATAAGCTACTTTATAAGTTGCCTCAGTGGCATTATTTGCAGGTCTTATTGATGCTTGAAAGAATTGTCTTTGCTTTTTCTTTTCATCTTTTAATTTCTCAATACAACCTTTCACACCTCTCCCTCTAACTTGCAATATTTGTGGTCCTTATGAATGTCATAGTTCTGATGAGCATTGAATTTCTTTAATATCGATATTGCAGTATCACAAAGCAAGCAATCTTTCTCTCTTCAGCTTATCATTAGCAGAAACAAGGTAATATTATAATAAATCCTCATTTAAAAAAATCTGTTTTCAGTGTTCTCTTGGTCTTCTTTGACATGATAGGCTGTTAAGCAGACAGAATTAAAAATACTGTTGAGCTGTGCAACATTCACAAATTCTCCTTCAGACAGAAACAGCGCACCATTGTCAAAATCTATCGCCAACCAGCCTTATACAGTAGTGGTGCCAGTCAGGCAGGGAAAGTTAGAACTAAATCATGAGCATAGCAGCTGTCAATTTAACCCTTATGGCTTACTAATGTCCTAATTGCACAAGTCAATCTGGGAAGATTATTTCGTTGAAACTTATTTTATTCTTTGGTATTTTAAATATGTTCATTTTAAAAATAAGATAAAAATATAAAAGATGAAAATAATCTACCAATAAAAGTAAAAGGATTTGTTCTGTAAAATTTGGATTTAGTTAAAAGGCTGCACTTAAGGACCTAGAAGGCCACATGTGGCCTTAAGGCTGCAGGTTCCCCACCCCTGGTATAGAATGTGACTCTAAATAAACTATAGGAATTGGAATATGGTTACAGGGAAACTTAAAGTATTTAACTCCAGTTGTGTTTGCATAACTTCAGACCAAAACGAAATCACTTAAGTGGAATATCTTTGATATGTGTGAGTCATTAGGGCTGTTCACAATGGTTCTAGTTTTTATTCTGGGCATGAGGAGGAATTTAATTTTCTCTCTCCTTTTGAATTAGATGTGGCCAAGCAATTTGTTTTGACCAATGAAATGTTATGCAGATGATTTTAAGATGAAAGCTTAAAAAACCAGTACAGGATCATTGTTCCCTACCCCAAGCCTAACATCGAAGAAGCACATGTGAAGATGGAATCTCTGTCATCCTGGGTGCATGCGTAACTGATGAATCGAAACTCCCACAGACCAATCATGTGAGTTTTTAAATGTGCTTCACCTGTTTAAGTCTCAGAGAACTTGAAACGTTGATATAATAATAGTGTCTATATTATAGGATTATTGTGGGAATCAAAGATAATTCATCTCGGCCCTTGATATGCTGTCCAATAAGTGTTAACTATTAGCATTATTGTTAAAATTTAAGACAATTGGAAAAATGCTTAAAGCTTTCTCCGGAAGTTTTGTACTTTTCTTTCTAAATGAGACTTTAAAAGTGAAATTTTTATTTATCATATTAATTTGATGACGCTTTTTCTTTTCCTTACATTGTTAATTGCTTTCAGAAAAGTGTTTGCATGCAAAAGTCACTGTGTCTCCACACTATGCTTAACATAGAAACCACATTAATAATCTCATTAGACAGGAAACTAGGTGAAACTAGGCTGAAGAGTACATGTTTCTATAATTCATCCAGAGAAAAATGGCAAATGGGCAGAGAAGAAAGTTATAGTGGGTTAGCCTCTGGCTGCCCAAGAGCTTTATGGTATTCTAGGAAACTAAAAGTGAGTGGTTAAGAATCATGTTTCCAATATTACCAAAAAAGCAAGGGAGTTTGCTGAGAGCTTGTAATTCAAACTACTTGCACCTCAGAATAGCCCCCAAATATTAATATGATAAAAGGACATTACTTTAGAAGAATTTTTGGCTGTGAACTTTATAATCTATATGAAAAGAGTTAACAACTCCTGTAAGGAAGGAGCTCAGGTAGTAAGAAATAGTGTAAGCCAAAAAGGGCAAGTTCTTTTTCTCTAGCAAATAACTTCAGTCTGCAGTGTGGACTTCTGATAAGGCTCCAGGATTGGCTGTAGAATGTATTCAGTCACAAAGCTGCTTTTAATAAAGTCTTTCAACCAGGTTTTTGGTTGTTGCTGATTGGGGTTTTGCAATGCAAAATGGAGCCACTTAGAATCAATTAATTGGCATATCACTGAAGAACTGAGACAATATGACTCTTATATAAATTGTATGGATTGAAATGGAGCAATGGAGCTAGTTATTTTCCTATTGCTTTTAAAGTGAGGTTTTCTGTTAAAATGCAGACTGTCCACAAATTATTTTCAGCATCAATGCAACCTTAACATTTAGAATAGCCTTGTATATTGGTCTCAATTTTTTTTGATCTACACAAACATTTTACCAGCCCACCCTTCCAGCAAAGATTGATCTGTTAAGATGAATGAATCTACTATTTAATTTTATTTATTGGATATATAGTGTACATATGATTCTCCCTGATCCGAGATGAAAACAGGACCTGATTCACTTTAGCAGCTAGCCCAAGCCCTTAATTGCCTTATACTCTATGATGCTTTTTGTTCCCCCCACCAGCTTGCCAACTAATAAAACAAATTTACTAAAGTGGATTGCAAGTCCATGGCTTTAGACTGTTAAAGGCAACCACTAGGGTGGCCAAAAATATTAAAGAACCAGACTTCTCCTACCTTATAGAAGTCAGCACTTTGAGCCTGTGCTATAAAATAGCCTCTTGGCATTCTGAGAACTTCATGGCACACAGTTTTACAATTTAGGACCAACCTTGTCATTCACAGTGATTAAATAGAAGCATGATTATTCCTAAACCCTCATTTAACTTGCAATTCAAAGGTACACCTGATTAAAAATAAAAATGTCTGAAAATAACTGGCCTCTACCCAGTACTTTGAAGCTTTCCAAAGGCTTTTTCACAAGGTTATTTTCTTTAAGCCTTACAATAATTTTGTAAATTCAACATTATCACCTGAGTGTACTTAAAAGAGAAGTTAAGCAAATGGTTCATGGTCACACAGGTATAAACTGAAGGAGCCCAGGCTTGAATGTGACACAATTCCAAATTTTCTACATATTTCACACAACCAGAGTTGTTCTCTATGGCACTGTCCAACAGAAATATAATGCAAACCACAAATGTCATTTAAATTTTTCTTGTAGCCACAATATAAAAGGTAAAATGTAATGTGGACTTAATTTTAATAATGTATTTTACTTGATCTAATGAATCAAATATATTGTCATTGCAACATGTAATCAATTTAAAGTGTATTACTATCATGAGATACTGCCTGTTTGCTTTTATGTACCAAGTCTCTGAAATCCAGTGTGTACTAAAAGCATATCTCAATTTGGATGCAAAATTTTCATCAGATATTCTTAACCTGTATTCAACTTTTATAAAACGTAAAGTTGAAAAGTACTCAAGTTATTCCAAACATACTTAAATGTTTTCTAATAATGAAGTTTAGTGTGAGATTCCAAATTGAAATTAAATCTAAGAAAGTTAATTCTTCAGCTGCTATCAGCCATGTGTCTAGTGCTCAGTAACCACGTGGTTAGTGGCTGTCGTGTTAGATGGTGACTTCAGACTGTCTGTGTGTTAGACATTAGAGTTTAAAGTCACTTCCTCTTTGCTTATTTCATCTTTCACGCACATCAATTATAGAAAGATAAAAGATTAAAAGTAGACAATCGCATATTCAGATTGACTCATTTTTCTTCTTTGTTTTCTAGGTTAGTTTTAAATGGGCAAGTTGATAATAAAACTGGGCATTTCAGGGAGACATGCTGACCTAACAGAAAAAACAAACAAACAAACAAAACACAAAATGTTCCTTCATTCATCAATTAAAGAAACAACTTTAAGA